TAGGGAAATAAAATGAAGAAAAGTTTTTTTGCAGTATTTCCAACCCATAGAGGAGCAAGAAGTTCCAAAAAATAACAGGTATGACACAACTGTATCCACCAGGTTAGTGTTTTTGGTATGTATGCTACTTAACTCTATTGGAGAAAATCATAGTTGCTCAGTTGCATGTCATAGGCCCTGCACAGCTCTAACTGGTAATAGAGATACTCCTCTAACTAGAGTCTGTCAGGATGAGTATTTCTGGAGTGGAAGACTTGAATTCTATCCCAGCTGTTTCCTTGAAGGTCCAAGAGGGCCATATCATGCTGCAGAGTTGTACAGGGAAGTCCCTACATGGTATTGTCCCTACACAGCATTGTTTCCTACAATAAGTTATACTTTTATCTTAAGATCTGCAAGTATTGGGAAAAAAACCTCCTTCTGTGATTTCCAGCCTGGTTCAATCTAGATGGATTGGTAAACACTCTAGATAAGCTCATTTATCAGAATTGAGCCTCTCTCTTGAGGTCTGCCCAAAGTTAAAATGTAGTTTCACCAACAGATAAATGGAAAATTCTGGATGGACAAACCACAGAGGAGAGGTCTGATGGAGTTTTTATACTTTTCTAAATTTTAATTTGTTCCCATAGATCTGCAAAACAGGATTGGAAAAGATCCCAAATAAGGTTCTCTTGTGATGAGCTTCTCTGGTACTTCCTGCTTCTGATAAAGCTAGAAACACTCTTAAGATTAACTTGGTAATTTAGCAACTGGTCTCAAAATAATTAAGAGCAGGAGAGGGAACATATATGAAAGACAATTTGAAACATGTATTCCAAACTCCAAAAAAAAGACAGGGTTTTAGGTCAAGATGCTGGTCAAAACAGTTCTTTTTGTATCCAAACTCCTTAAGACAGCGAAGCCTTACCTTCAGACTGGCTAGCTGTCCTGAAGGGAAAGTACCTGGGATGCACCAGGTGCTGTTCTCTTATGCAAAACAGTCTCTTCCTGGATCAAATGATTCAGTGCAGGAGTGGCAGCAAGTGGCTCCTACTCCCGTGTTCTTCAGTGTAGCGGAATCAGGTCCTTTGCACAGAACATGGAGGCAGGTGTCAAACAAACTATGCTTTGCTTGCAGGAATATTTAAGTATGACTGACTTCAGTGGAGCTCTACCAGGGATGAATCTAACTCATTATCTTTAAACACAAAGAGGGAGATGATAGAAACATTAACTCTAAGCCTTGCCCTGCTTTTTTAATGCTTCTCCTGCTGTTACAATTGCTTAAGAAACTAGGTGTGAGGAGTACTGGTAACCACTTGCACTGAGTGGATTCTGACCAGCAACCTGGTTGGTGCTGTGCATCCTAAATAGGTTTCCTAGCTTTGGAAGAGTTTCTGCCCAAAGATAACTGTGGGGAAGAGTTTCTGCCCAAAGATAACTTTGGAGCAGAACTTCTCATTCTCTCTAAATCTGCAGCTGGAGGAAATCCACAGAGCTCCACTGACTTCAAAAGAGCTACACTGATTTGGACCAGCTAAGAGTACTGACCCAGTATGTATATTTAATGGTTTTACCATGTCCTTTTTTTTCATGCCTGATTCTGATCTCACTTACATGGGTTTTCAATCTATGGAGCTATGCCACACATGTACTGGAAGTGGGGAGAAATCAGAAGCAGGCTCTACAGGAAAGTCAAATGTGATGGATGTTTAACATAATCTCTTTATTTTGAATGTGTGTGTATTTTCCCCCTCAAGATGCAGATTCACCAGAATGCTTTATTTATTTATTTAAATGTATTTAGACAGCACCGAGGCATCTGAATAACTATGCATTAGGCATAGGGGCATCTAGAGCAATAACAGAAGCGGCAGCAGGCCAGAATCTGATCCCACTCATACCACTGTCAATTTAAAGTCATGTCAGCAAGGTCAATGGGGTTACACTGGGACCAGAACTGGACACACTGTGTCCACTGCCTGGCATGAAATGTTTCTAGATTTAAAGGGGTGAGGGCTGACTGTCCTGCTACTGTCTTTTACAATAGCTCTCTCTCCCTAAAATAGGGAAAGGCATCTCTGTTTTGATGCCTGGGCCAGCAAAGCAGTTCAGAGGCTATTTGCAGTTTAAGTTGGGAGAGACACTGGGTCTGATTCTCCTGTCATGACAGTGTCTTCCCAGGGAGCAATTCTCGATTTACACTGGTATATGAGGGAGGATGTTTTTGTTTAAAAAAAGCTAAATGGGGTCAAAGAGTGGTAATTTTGTTTTGTTTTTACTAACAGGTTAAGTTTCAGTAGGACTCTCTACTATGCTGTCTATACAATAGGCAGAAAATTACTTTATTTATGTATTATATTTTTAATCATTCCACTTGATTCACTTCTTCTTTTTTTGGCCTTTGGCCCCTGAGAACTCTGTACTGGAATCATATTGAGAGAAAAAAGGAAGTCTACCCAATGGAGCATATTCTGGACTTCTTAAAAGTGGAATTAAGACTTGAAATATCCTAATGGAAAGCCATGCTTTCTGTACAAGTGATGTAAGCTAGAGTCAGAATTGGGCATTAAGAATACAAGCATATTGCAAAAAAGATCACACAGGGCCCCATTCTGTTCTCATGCCGGTGCAATTCCATTCACTTCAGGAGAGTCACTCCTGATTTATACCAGCATACATGAAAAGAGAATTGGGCTCATTGTGAAAATTAAGGGCTGATGCAAGTGATGTTACTGAAGTTACTAGGGCACATGTTCAGCTGGTATAAATTTCTTGCCCCACTGGTTTTAAAGGTCTCCAAGACTTTAAGTCAGAGGAGCTGGGACAATTTACACCATCTAAAGATTTGCCCCTGTGAGTGTACAGGCTCAGGAAGAGTTGCAATACTGCATGCTACTACCGTACAATACTAGCACCCACAGAGTTTAACGGAACATTATAGTACTACAGAACCATGCTAGACCTGAGCATCTCACAAAGTGGTGTGAAGGATGGGGAGAAAGGTTGTTTCACTTAATCTCCCCTGATAGTTGGGGATCTTTAGTTCTTATGCCAGAAATAAAGGTAGAATGGTGTTTGCATCAAAAATCTATTTGTAACCATGCAGAATTAGGAGGGCATTTTGGAGTTCATTCTTCTAAGGAGGTGCTGGCCATCACCAGCTTTGAAGAAAGCATTCTTCTTTTTGTTTTGTTTAATATATTGCAATATTTATTTATTTATTTGAATGATTGCAGGTACAGCAGAATATTTATAGATATTTATAATTATGTATTCCACAAACAGAAAGAAAAACTGTTCCATTTTATAAAATGCAAATAAACTTTTTCCTTTTCTCAGTTGGTGGTCACTGCCTGTTTTATGTTAAGTTCCCTCCTCATCATCAGACTAGTGTTTTCAGTCATATACAAATCCATGGCCCTCACTAGCTAGAAATAAAACCAATACAGCATCCACTAGTTTCTGTGGACAGCTCCAATCTGGCCCCAGCAGGGTTATGACACTGAAGAGTATTATGAAGTACTTGCAGATCTTCAGTTAAAAAGCCCTGTACAAGATATGGTTATTACCATCAGTGCTGCTTAGTGGTCTATCTGCAATGAGGGGGCATTTCCCTGCACAGGGAACATGCACCTATTTCCCAAAACTTCCTGCAGAGGCCTAAGGCTTACTGTCAACCCTCCAGCAGAGAAGTCTGAGATTGAATAGACCACAGAAACCAAAATTTCCTCTCACCTCCCACATCCTGAAAGGCCTTCAGGCCATAAGGCTACTGAAGTTCACTCTCGTACAATGTTTCTTAACCCGTGGGTTGCAATCCAAAAGTGGATTGCAAGAATACATGAAAGGGTTGCAAACAAACTATAACAATAGATCGACAAACTTTAAAAATGGATTCTCCTTTAGAGGAGAAAAATGTGGAAAACCGGGGCTTTCCCCTTATAGGCTGGTAGAGTTATAGCCTGCAAGGGGCTGCTTGGGCCCCCCCCCATAACCCCACACACACCCCACCCAGCCCCACACACTGGGGGCAGTGGGTCGGGAGTGAGGGGCACTGGGTTGGGACTGGCCATTGTTTTCAAATGGGTCCGGGTACAAAAGAGGTTGAGAACTACTGCTTTAGGATACCAGTGGGCTTTAAAGCCCCAAAAGCTGTAACTGTTATATTCCATCTCCTGGGCCCAGCCTCAAGCACCCCAATCAAAAATTAACCCAGAGTTAAAGGGCACCTTCCCTGCTG